AGCGAATGGCTCGTTTGAGACAGATGAACTGAGGCGCTGCACCAGCATAAGATAAATAAGGATTTTTTTTTTAAATTGTGAGTCATGCAAAGTTACTCTAATGAAGTCCAAGAGTGAAAATATAGAGCTGCACACGATTATAATACAGGAAGTTCCTTTAGTTTTCATCTAGCAGTATTACAAAATCAAATGTTTCATTCTGCATTTATGTTTACGTAACGACGAGTTGCAACACCTCGTCGTTAAGGAGGTGTTATCAAGACGCGGTTTGATAACCATTAGAACAGTTTTTGGGTTTTTCCAAGAATAGCTGAACAGGCAGAGACCACCTTTACTAGCTTCTGATGCACACGCAGTCATTTTGTTCAATAAGGTGAAATATGACAGATACCACTCAGCTCAGAAAAGAGCTTCAGTGGTTTTTCCTAGTAGTTTTCAGGGGTAACAAGTTATTTGTCAATTATTGTTGTTCCAATCAGCCTCATCTGCACTTTGCATTTATTGCACACCAACATACTAAACCAGCTGAACATGGATAATTTAGCACAAAGCACTATGATGCCAAATGCAGCCTCACAAGTTATGGAGGCCCTGTTGGGTCAAAGCTTTTTCTCTTAAAATGTAAAAAAACAACAAAAAAAACCACTACTACATGGGTCTGCATGTCCTGTGTCATTCTTGCTTTTCCCCTGCTTTACAATTGTCCTTGTCCAAGAAAGACTAAAAATGCCTGACATAAATAATGACTATAATCTAACTTTGAATTATTTCAGCTGACATGATGTTCAAATGTTGCATTTACTTTACTAAATTTGTTAGTTTGATCACTACAAAGTGCATTAGCACTAGTTGGCTTCTGTGGCTGCAGAAAAACAAAATCTAGAGAAACTGGCTGTTAGTGAGCTGCGGCTTGAACTCGCTTGCAGATAAATCCAGACATGTATAAAGACAGGAGAAAAGAACACGTTTGGGTATTGAATACATAATTATTAGAGTTATTAGTCATACATTTGGCTACGTTTCAGTATTGGCTATATTATTTGTGTTCAGCTGTGCTAAATTGAACCTCTGCATGTGTGTCAGTCTTTGTGGGTTTGTAGCGGGTTTCCTGGTGACAGGAAGGATGATGTATGAGGTCTAATATTAGACTTATTATCTGACTTTATTGGCCAGGTTTTCATATTAAGATTCTTCATATCAAGGAGTATAAAATCCCTTGCATGAAACTGATCACCACTCTGCTGCTCACAATAAAGGCTGATAAAGGCCAACTTCATCAAGGCACAGTAACAAAGGAGAAACAAAGGTTTAGCATTGAAGAGTTCATCCAGGACGCGGCTGTGTGAGCATAATCGATTGATGCACAGCACACCGTGTTGTTCGCTAATTTTGTTGACAGCTGATTGATGTGTCACACGGCAGACAGTAATTGGAGCATGTGTCCTCTTGTCTCCTCAGAGTGGAGGAAGTCAACTGGAACAAATGGAACAGCAACCTGGTCAAAATCGATGAGGATCCCGGCTGTTGGGAGCGTGTCCAGCAGCCAAGCACTGAAACCCCGCCTAGGAGCCAACAAAGAGGTGCGGAAACATGAATTCATGGATTTGTGTGAGGGAGGAAAGTAATTCGAGTCCACTAACATTTTCCTGCTTTACCCACAGGGAGGAGCTGGAGAGGCTTATTCATGGATGGCAGTAGGCGGTGGCAGGCGTACCAGTCCACAGAGATGACACCGGTCTAACAGAGAGCTGCTCTCTGGCTACTCAGCCTGACTGGCTGTTTTACTTGCCCAATAATTTTAACAGACATGGATAATCTACTTTACTGACTGATTGATACCCCAGTGTAACCTTCCCAAGAAAACCTTGTGGACACTTTGGGTTTGACTGACAACAGTGTAAAACAGCAATATTTATCAGTATTGAACGCCAGGCAGTGTTGTGCAAATAGCAAAGAAATTTTAAAGCAGAACATTTAATCCAGCGCCTTCTTCTACATGCTGCTCCTGCACGTGAACTGGATGCACATCCTCTGCTCAAAGGCCATAACCTGCTGGTACCTCTGGTATCGCTCGAAAACCTTCGTGGAGTAATGCCACTCACCAAGGTGCTGATCCTTCCCTCCCACTGTGTGCCCTTTATACTAGGCCCATTTTCATCACAGCCAGACAAGCTAAATCTACTGCGACCAGATCAGTCCCACAGATTTCACAGCTTGCTTTGTCTACTCCACTTCCTGTTCCGGCCTGGATAAATGGCATGAAGCGGCAGCAATTGGTGTAGCAATCACCACCTTTGGCTCTACCTGTCACAGTTACAAATGTGGCTTAGACAAGCCTTTAGAAACACCGAGTCGCTTCTAGGGCTGATTATGAGAGAGACAAATGTGTGTGTGTGTGTGTGTGTGTGTAGCTACCTGAACTGTCACAGAGGATGACAAGAGCTAGGCTGCCTGCTGTTAATTTAGACAAATTAATGTTCAAGCGAACTGAGTTCAAAGCATAAATTAGAACTTTATTTTATTATTACAATATTACAAAAAGAGTAGCACAACTCTCACGCTCTTGCCTCTTATCTGTCGTACAGAATGACACAAAAGAAAGGCTCGTGGACCTTCTTCCATTTCACAGCAACAGTACAAGAAATAAAGAAAAAAAATAAAATTTTAAATAACAAGCAAATCAAGTATTATAAATAGTCACAACTGCAAACTGAAGCTTTGAAAGATTGTGGGGAGGGGAGGGAGAAGAAAAAAATTTGTTACAGCTCAAAAAAACTACACATTGCTAAAAATATATAATTACAAAATATTACTCATTTTCCTCACTTTACATAATAAAGAATATCTAAGGAATTGCTCTGCCTATTCAACAAAACTTCATTAAAGTAAAAAGTCAAAAAAAAAAAGAAAGAAAAGCAAAATAAAATTGCTGTTTCTGTGGATCCTTACCATTGCCTCTTCCTTCTTATTTGGGGTTTTCATTAAACCATGCTCATTTTCAAAGGAAAGTCCAAGGACCAAACACTTAAGGCTTTTTAAGGGTCATTAGGGGGTTAGGAGAACAAAACATGGGTGCCATTGCGTTATATCTCACACACACACACTGTCTACTGCACACACACACACACACACACACTCACCCTTAACCGTTCCCACATCCACAGGCAGCATTCATACACAATCATTAAACTTTAAAGTTACAGTAGTCTAGTAGGTAAGCCAGTGTACAATAAAATAAACAATGCATTTGCTGTTTCACTTAAAAGTCGGGCTTCGTTTACCTCCGAGTGCTCTTGCAAGTGATCAATTTGGTCTTTTCATTTCAGCATCAGTAGCAACAACATGTAACTCTGTTTGCTGAGGTGCCCATTGTTGGGACCACAAATCTAGCTAGGCGTGTAGTGAGTTCCTACGGGGCATTGACGCGGATTTCATCTACTTCAGAGACTTTTGTCTGTGCCTTTCAATACCTTCAAAACAAATCATCTCAAACATTCAAGTAAACACATTTGTCATAGATACAAAGACGATCTGAAAAGGACACGAACTTTAAAAATGGCACCGCTTCCTAACAGTGTGTCCTTGTTAACCTGACTTTGGTCGCTTTTAAAAAGGTAGGAGTAAATTTTATCACAACCTTCCTTGTCATAAACATTTCACAATCTTGCTGCCAAACGTGGCACTAACGCAGTCTGTTATGCCTTTATTTCTTTTTCTCTTTTTTCTTTCCTTTGTAAACACCTGAATTCATTGCAGCATGTGAAGCAGGACCAAGCATCAAAGTTTTTCAACTTGTTTGCTCCCTCTTGGAACTTAAATATGTACAAACAACCTGATTACAGACTTCCTTAAGTGACGGAGAGGTATCGATCTTGAAGAATCCTATTATACAAATAATGACATTTAAAAAGAAGGAGAACCCCTTTGTGCATGTGTGCATACTGCAAGCTTTGCCCGAGGCCTATTCCAGAAAGCAGATTTAGCCAAACTTTGAGGTTTGTTAACTTTGACATGCTGGATCAGTCAGTTGGCATAACCGACTCTGTGACTCTAACCTGCAGGTTCTTTTTAACCTCCTATTATCCAGCAGTGAATGCAGAGTTGAGAGTTAGGATACTATCTGGTTGAATATTGACTTTGTTGTCCGAGGACTTTCTTCCTTTCAAGACTATCGATCTGGACATACAGCGATCTGTGGACGTGGAAGAATAAAATCTATTACATGCTACATGGTCTTCCGTTATAACTCTGTAGACAGGATGGCAGCTGTCAGGTTCTTAACCACTTTCTCGACACTAAACTGCATATTGGCATAATCCCTGTTTAAATAAAAAAAATCCTCTGCATGAAGCTTGTCCTGTTTATTGGCCATACCATCGTTTATAAGGTACATACTTCAAGTATTATTATCATATCTCATGATATATCCTATTTTATCACAGCGGCATAACATGGTGAAGATGACTGAGGGAGGATGATTGCGTACCTGCTGAAACCAGCTTCTTAAACCAAGCTACATGTAGTTCAGAGTGAGTCTTTGAGTCTTACAGACTGCAGACAGTCCAAAAGTGTTCCCATAGCATGTGAAATATGCACACATGCTGAGGTCAATATATGCTACTGAGCGAATGCAACGAAGCTGTCTTAAAAGGTACAGTCAGTTTTTTTTTACTGCAAATCATTACAACACACTTTGACGTTACAGTAATTAAATGCCATCATATCTGTTTGATCCATATTCCAATATTCCGCTGCTGTTTCCTGTATTTCAGCCTTCAGATATTGTAGCCAATAAAAGGTAGGATTCTAACTTCCATTAAAAAAAAAAAAAGTAAAATTCAAGCTGAATAAAATGTGGCTTTAAAAAAAACGAAAGAAAGAAAAAAAGAAAAATGTGACAGATTGACAAACATTCATATCTCCATTTAAAGTGGAAGATTTGCTCTTTATTTACCCGTTGCCATAGTGATTGTTGGACTCGGAGCTCCACTGATAACTGCTTTTTTTTTTTTTTTTTTTTTAATATTACCTAAGCTGACTGACCCAGCTGCACTTCATCAACTCAAACTAACTAAACCTGCTTTCTGGAACAGGTCCCAGCTGGACTCTGTTATACTTCACTAACTGATGGCTTTGCATTGAAGCACGGTCATCTCTCTCTCTTTTGTCCTGAAGTGACTGCGTTTAATCATCGAAATGAAACAAATTTAATGAACCTAGTCGGAGCCAAAAAATTTCCTGACATGATCCTGTTACAGGAACAAGAAGAAAAATCTATCAGCAGATGTTTTTTCAGAGAGGGATCTGCTTTTCTTTCTTGCATGCATAAGGAAACTTTAGTGGCAGGTCTGAAGTAGAAATGACACAGGATCACTTGAGATCCAGGCACGTAAATTGACAAGTATCATCAAGGGGAAAAAGCAGGTAATAAACAGTATGAAGTGCCAGTTAGAAGCCCTCGTTAACAAACCTAGAATTAGCAATTGATCACTTGCAAGATTAAACAAACAAACAAACAAAAAAAAAAACTACTGATCTTCATTAAATATATTAATTTACCCTCTTTAACATTAGCAGTCATTTGCTTAAGTTATAAGTTGAGTTTTATTCATGTTTCCTTTCTTAAGACTAAACAAAGGGTGCTGATAACAGTTGTGGAGACAAGGCCATAGCTTATCTGTACCCTGGGTGCTGGATGAGAGCGGTTCTGCCATCCCCAACCTCTGGACCTACCCTGCTCAGAGGGGGCCTGTGCATCTTGCCCATCAACCCTAGATTCTGATCGCGGAAATAGGGCGTCTGGAAGTCCCCACCCAAGTAATCTGCTGTTTGCATCAGATTAGTCTGGGCGGAGGAGGAGGAGGAGGAGGAGGAGCTTGATCCTAGCCGGTAATGGGGAGCCCCAGGGGGCCCACAGTCTAGCGTGGTGCACCCTCCTGGGCCTGCACCGTGGAATGGCATGGCTATGTCCTGAGACCCGGAGCTGTCACTGTTGGGTGTGGGTAGGATGCTGCTGTTCCAAATGTGCGACTGGAAGTAGTGACCGTTAGTGTAGTGGGCCATGGGGCCGGGCATGCCATTGTTGTTAACAGGTGGGGAGGGGGTGGGCCTCTCTACGGGAGGTTTTAGTGAGTAAGGCTGACCCACGCACACCTCTGCAGGGTAGCCCATGCCCTTAAAATGGAAGGTGGCGTCCCTGGAAGGCTGCTTGCAGAGGTGGCTCCCCCCATTCTGAATGTGGGGTACATGAGCCAACTGATGTTGATTCCAAGAGCGCATCTTCTGCTGCTGCTGCGTGGTGTGTTGTAGTTGCTGCTGCTGATTCTGATGTGGGTGCAGTTGGTGCTGCTGCAGCTGGTGCTGCTGCTTAAGATCAGTGTGGTTGGAAGGCAAGTGGTTCATAGCAGCCACACTGGGTGGAGGGTGAGCTCCCACTGGGGCTGTGGCTTTCTCTTGAGAGCCAATGATGCAGTTGGGTGGGGGGAAGCCAGGGGTGGCAGGGTTACTGTGCATGGAAACCCTAGAACAAGCGCTGATAAGCAGGTTGCGACTGATGGGGCTGGGGTTGGCGATCTGGCCCTCACACATGGAGGTGGTTCCTGCACCCTGGGCCCGAGCTTGGCAGAATTGGTTGATCTGATGTACGATGGTGTTCAGGTCAGCCTGGCGGCCCTGGTGCAGACCAGCAGCCATAGAGAGTGGAATGGTTGAGGTAGAGACAGTAACATTAGGTGGTGCATCACCATCGGGAAGCTTTCTGCTTCCCTGCAGGCCAGGTGGAGGCTGCTGCTGCTGCTGCTGCTGAAGGTGCTGCTGCTGGAGCATGACAGTAGGTGGCCCCTGTGTTTGCCCGAGAGCTGGGTGCTGAGACTGAGTCTGGAGTCTGGATGGGCCCTGAGGGTGCTGGGCCATTGGGGGAGGCTGTCTGAGACTCTGGGTGTGCACCTGCTGCTGGGGAAGGGGTATATGCACAGTCTGAGGGGGGTCCTGCGGTGGAAGGGGTAACCTCTGCTGGGGCCGGGGAAGGTTCTGCACCTGGTGGTTTAAAGTGCTGGTTGAAGCCACCTGATAGGGTCCCGTAAGGGGGTTCATGATGACGTCAGGGTGCAAGCGAGCCCGGCTACCGTCAAAATCTTTTAGGATGCCTTTGACAGTGGGCACCTTGACGATGGCGAGGAGGCCTGTCTTGGCACTGGCCTGAGAGGAAGGATAAGGGCTGTAGCGCTGGCCTGACGTATCCAGCCCGTTGACAGTACGGCGCACGTGGTTCCTCTGGGGGACCTTGACACTGTTGGGGAAGATCTTAATGGTGAGGGGGTTGTTGGCAACCTTCTTAGCATATGCATCCAATTCTGCAGGGGTTGGAAACGGAGCGGATCTCATCCTTTGTGTGGTGTCCCCTGAGGTGAAGAACAGGATAGATCGGAGGCAAGAAGCAGAAAGCAAAAGGAGACAGAGGGTAGGGGGAAAAAAATTAGAGAGAGACATTAGGCAGCAGGCCAAAATCTAGAATGAAAAAAACCCCTACAACTTCAGAAGAGGAAGCTTGAGATATGCTTAATGATAACTTTTGTCTTCATGCTGTGCTCTCCCATGTCAAAGTCCTTCATTCATCTTACTTCTTATCCTTTATACCACTTACCTTCTACCAGTCTCTCCTCATGGCCTATATTTTCTAGAGCATGAAAACAGATCTCAGAATAGGTGCAGGAGTCTAGTTTCAACTCAGACCACTTAAATCACCATATGCTGAAAGGTTATTATAGATTTTTTTTAAACCACTGATGCCAAAAACATGTTTCCTACCCCAGCTTTAATTCAGGTAGAAATGTATATGGCACAAAAGAGCACATCAGTTGAAATCAGAGTAGCTGAGTGAACTTGATTTGGAACGCACTCTCATATTTCATACTTGCCTGTTTTTCTCCTAAATCCCCCGTCTCAAAGAAAAAGATTTCCGATCTGAGTCTCTGCAGAATTATCGGTGCCGACACATTCCCAGTCTAAAATCCAATTTGGTGGTATCATTGGGGACTTTGAGGTCAGGAGCTTTTAGTGGCCTTAATTGACGCATTATCTGGGCAAAGAATAAGAATGCATCTGAGGGGTGGGCTGTGCCGCTTGCTACTAAAAAAAATATCACAAGATAAACAGAAAAAAAAGGCTGTGATGGTCCCCTGTGGCTGGCAAGGGGAGAAGGAAAGAAGAGAGAGCGAGATAGACGCAGAGAGCACAGCTCCATGACAGCAGACAAGTAATCAGACACAGAAGCAGCGTCTCTGATCTGTGGGAACACCTCCCAGGCCTCAGCTCGCAGACATTTGTTACACCTGCTAAGCACTGTGGCTAAATTTAACAATGCCAAAGTGACAATGTGAGCACGATTGTGTGTTTGTGTATGCGTGAAGCTCCTTTTAAAAAATTTGTGACAGGATCGTGCAGGTGCTGGCTTGCGCAACAACCGCTTGTGTCCATTTTCAGCCTCGGTGGATGTGACTGCTCGCATCTTTCTAACACACTGATCTCACTTCCACAAAAAAAAGAAAAAAAAAAAAGAAAAAAAAAAGGCTTCTGTCCCTGGTGTCCTCCACCATGCTACCCCCATCACCTCAGCCCTGCCAGCCTGACCTACTTCCACCACACCTCTCTGACTGATGGACATGAGTGGAGCCGATGTGTGAAGAGAATCGCTGCTCTGACCGGTCTCTGAGCTCCATTTAATTCCCTCTTTCATCCTGTTTGAGGAGGGGGGGGGATTTTCAGCTCAAGTAAAACACGTCTTTATAGCACACTGGCTACTCCTCTGTTGTTGAGTGAGCAGTAATTTTAAAAGTCTGAAATTCTGGCAGAGGTCTGTGGTTTCAGGCAGCCATGGTCTCACAGCGGGAGGACTGGACATGTGGGATGAGGCGCGGAGCTGAATGGAGGGCGCTGACACGGCGGGACCAAGAGTTGTGCCAACTGGCTAATTAATTCGAGCTTTATTTGTGAACAGGAAACAATGGGCAGCGATGTGCGGGGCCGGCATAGGGCGGCACACAGGGGGCGGCTGTAACTAAGCATTCAGCCTGCTGATGGCAGCCTCATTAATGCAGGGGTCTGGGCCAAAGAGCTGGAGCTTGACACCCACCATCACTGAGGCCTAATGTCTGTCACTGAATAAATGCCAGGGTAAGCAAACACAGATAAATGAACACTTACACAGGAGCACACAGACATGATGAGCAGAGGTTTCACCTGTCAAATACAGGAAATGATTAATGAGCCTGCAAAAAAAAAACAAACCAAAAAAAAAAAAAACCCAAAGGAAGTTTGATCATAACACAAATAAAACCTCACTCCGTTTTTCCAGTAATTAGTAGGTTACCTTTACTACAGAGTGCAAAGAGTATAAAGGAGTATGCATTAATAAATGCAAGTTGTTTGCGCTCTGTGTTCAGTTTGGAAGATCTTGGCACAGCCTCCGTGGTCTGCAGCTGCTGTCAAAACCTCATGTCAGTGTAGCTGTAGAAAGGGTTGTAAGTGGGTGGGAAGTGAGTACATCATCTGTTGCGATGAATAAAACATCTTTTATCATTTTACGGGGATGGAATCTTCTATTTGATACCAAGATTGTGCACAGCATGACAGAATGTTATGCTTTTCCTTACATTCTGTCATATATGTTGGCCAAAGTTTTAAAAACACGAATGTCAGCACACATGAAGGTAATCCCCGTGAGCCACAAATCAGGCTTCAAACTGCTCTGCATGCTCCAGTTGAGTGTTTTTTCTACTCTTGGCTCTGTGTGATGTCAGTCGATGATATCCCAAATCACACTCTGAAGCATGAAGCAGCCACACCCACCTGTTGTTGGCGACATCTTTGAAAGAGACGCAGCCATTCACAAGAGAGCTGGTTTTCTTGTTGTTTCAGATAGAAGATGAATGGCACTGAGGTCATGCAAAATTACTGGAGCTAATAGATGTCCACAAATAAAAATAAGGAGATGGAAATAAAAATAATAACCCTGCTTTTTAATAACTACAGCACATCTAAATGCAAAATCACTTCATGTTTTCTGTGCAGGCTTCTAGACTAGTTCACATGAGAGATCCAAATAGAACGAAGGTAAAATACATGCAATTTTAATAAAAACCTTAAATTGACAAGAAAAAGTGTATTTTTTCATATTTCTATGCAGGGGAAGAGAACTGTTTCTTTTAGATTGAAATCTACAGCAAGAAAAAAATTAAAACAAACAAAAAAATACTAACCCACAGACATGTAACTGCCTACAGTGTTATTTCTTTGCCACTGGCATTTGTGTAATGAGTTTTATACTTAAGTTGTAAGATTCAGGCAAGTAGCAAAGAAAGCACTGCCAATGGAAAGTGACCAATCCATTAAATTGGAAAAGGGATTATACATTGTTAACACAGCTTAGGCTGACATTTTGGGGAGGGGGGAGAGAAAAAAAGGCAAATCAGGATAAAGGGTTTAACAGCACTGCTGTAAAATGTGTAATGAAATCGGTAAATTACTGTTTAGAGCAGCTTCCCCACTAACAGTGGATAAAATCGACCTCTCGCTGTTTACATCTGCTTAAGGCTCCTGGCAGCTGTTGATTATGGGTTCTAGTAAGCAAGTGTAGCTTATTAGCATTTCAACCTTAACCTGGAACCTGGATTAGTTGAAGGGCTTAAAGCATCAAGGGAGGGTTAATGAGGAATATGAGTGAAGTTTGTAGGCGGCTGCTGGTGGCTGCAAGCACATCATCTCTCAGATCTCCAGCTAAGCACGTTTCCAGGGAGGGAGCAGGGGAAAGAGGGCAGTCTGGCCGCGCGCTAATTATCCCACTGCAAGCGAGCTAGTTGGAACACAAGTGCACAGTCAGCAGGCACTAATTAGGGTTTCTTTTATTCAAACTACTGTTTTTATTGAACAAGGTTTAAGCAGCAGGGAACAGGGGCTCATGCTGCTGTAAATTGCATTTTTCACACAAGAGCAGGAAATTAGGTCTGAAGCTTCGGCATCAAATTAGACATGAGTTTGGTTTCTCACGTGAAGAGACCTCCCTACATTTTTGCCGAGTTATGAAGAGAGCATAACCTTCAAAGAAAATGAAAACTATTATGAGGAGAGGAGGAACAGAAGGTTGCTTTTGATCTCAGTGGGGACTAAGATGTGAGAATCAGCCAAGTGGCCCAGCTGTACTCACAGTTTGTTCTGCCTGTGAGATGTGAGGACCAAGGGCCACTTCCTGGTACTTGAGTCATCCTGCCTGGAGGATGAGCAGTTTTCTTCGTGACCCGCTGTCTCTTAGCGTACCTGATCTGCTCCTCCGACAGCCTTTACATTTCACAGCCGTCATCTGTTAGCAGACACTCCCTGATGATAAATAGAGCAGCTGCCCTGGCCTTGCCTCTGACAGCAGCCTGCAAGCTCGTAACTTTAAATGACTCTCCAGTGCGCAGATTCCCCCGCAGGAGGAGAGGCAGGGCACAGCCAGCCTGGCGTTTTGGAGCTCTTGGTGATTATCGAGTGGTGGGAAAGTGTCAAAGACAAGATTGTGTTACACAAGACTCGGCATTAGGGAGCACCGAGTAGCTGAAAGGCTCGAGCTCAAGAATAGCAAAACAAATAGGAGCTAATTATGTAAACCTCCCATCTGAGCTTTTTTTCCCCCCTTTTTCTTTTTTTGCAAGGACTTGTCAGTGCACTGAATAAAGATTTCAAGTAACAATCAGTCTATGAATTTTACCTAAAAGCAGTCAAGCACATCTCTCACGGAGTCAAGCTGTCAAATTATCTTCTGTGCTGGGTAAGCGATAGAAGCTCTGGAGAGACAGTGAACTCTGTGGACAGCCAGCAGGGAGACGGTGGAGCATTACTCGAGGGTTCAAGCCTGACAACTGCTAAGACTGCTAACATGCAGGAGGTGAGCTACAGGTGATAGATTATGGGTGGTAAAAGAGGCAAACCAGAGAGAGCCTATTTCTTTTCAAATTCACTTTTTTCATGGCACTTTGATAAAAATGATACAGTTCACATGACATTCGGGTCGGTGCCTTTTGATGCAATACCGCGCCTGTTTGACTAACAGATGAAAAGCATTATGAGAAAATGATAAGAAAAAAGAAAAGAGGACTGGAATTACACTTCTAGGAATGGCTGTGGCTGTGGGAAGCACACTCCATCACCTAAATGGATTACAGTCCTGAGCAGAAAAAACAAATTGAGCTGCAGTTGTCTTAGTGTGTCACATAAAGGAAGAGCAGGGAAAGAGTCTGGCTGATGGCTGTACCATGTCACAAGCCTGCCTGAGTGAGGCAACAGACGCTGGCACTTAGCAGACTCCCTCGCGCTTGCCGATCTCCTGGGGGTTGGCTGATTACTGTGATTCTGAAATTACAGTCTTGATGAGCTGGAGCATTTTACAAAAAAAAAAGAAAAAGAAAAAAAAAAGGGCAGTAGAAATGGGTCACGCCTGGAGCTGAGCTCAGGGAGGAGACAGGAGGAAAAGGAGACCAAGACGTTTTGTGTAAATAAAGCTGACCAAAAGTATTGAGCATAATGTCTCAGACGTGACTGATCTGCTGGGTATAAAAAACTAACTGAAGATGAAACAAAAGGCAAGTATGACTGTGACCTGGCATCAAATGGACAAACTGTGCAATTCATAACAAAATGTGAATATATTTACACTCTTAAAAACAAAGAACGGTAATCTACTGTTTCTTTGTGTAGTTTTCTCCTTCATCATCACTTGTCAGAGCCTCTGAAGTCTGCGCTCTCGCTGGCATTTGCTGACTTCGACTCTCCATTTGTGCTGCTGACACCCAAAAGTGTCCAAGTTTTTCAGCAGTTGTAAAATTCAAACACATTGAATTCAGCGGGCCGGCACTGACTACTCTGCTGTTAAACCGGGCCAGCAGATTGCTTCTTAAATTCACCCACATTACAAGATCATCGGGGCAAAACCACTCAGCCGCAATCTGTCTGCAAGTCTGACAGTAACTGACTCTTCCTGATGGTGAAAAGTAGCTGAGATGCTCATGTTCAAACACATGCAATGTTGCAGTGAGCACACAGGACCACACTCTCGTGACAGACAGATCCTCAGGGGCGATGAGAGAGGGAGGGAGTCGGTTTGCCTTTCATCAGCAAATTAATGGTGCGGTTCATCTTAATTTCCCTTGAAGACAGATCTATGGTCCTGGAGCACTAAAATATTCTCTCTCACTCTCACTCTTTCTGATTTTAACACAGAGCTGCAGAAGAGATCCAGGCCAGGGTTGGCATGGGGATCTAATGTGGGGCGGCCAGCAGGATTGTAACAGCTTGGTTTGTTGTGTGGGATGATGGTGGTGGTGGTGGTGGTGGTAGTTAACAGTGTGCATGTGTGTCCCGAGAGCAGTACTTACATTTCTGAAGTCCAGTGTTCATCTGCGTGTGGGGGAGAAGCTGGAGGGGGAGGTCACCTGGCCCTGGCAGACAGGCCAGCATTTCACACAGACACTAATGCAACATGGGACACACACTTCTCCTCACACTGTGGAGAGAAAAAGAGAGGGAAAGGTCAGACATAACTCCAAGGCAGCACATGGTGCCTGTCGATGCAGAGGCTGGGTGCGGGCAAATAGAACTCAGTAGCAAGTCCCCTGAGGCACGGGGCTGAGGGAGACATAGTTACCTTTCAATTAGAAACTGATTCACACCTGGAGCATCGGGTAAGGTGACATTTGATGCCAATAACAACTTCAATTAAACATCAAACAGCTGAAGTAAAACGGGCAGGCTGGGCCTGAGGGACTGGCAGCTTTAAATCGACTCAGTCCCTCCTCCTACTCGACTTGCATGTTAGTCACCTAGTTGGACCCCGCTACCCACACTTTACTTCTCTGCCACTATCAGACCGTGGCAGAGGAAATTAATGACTCCTGTATACCCAAAAAGAACACACTCAAGAGGCCTGGCTCTGACAAGTTAGTGCGTCTCTGATCGATACTGCAGTCCTCCAGACCTCAAAGAGGCCCTTATTTCGGGGACATTAAACAATGGAGTCAGCTAGGGACGGGTGGAAAGAAATGAATAAACATGGCTACGGCTCCCTTAAATGTCTGCCACTTTGTGCAATAATTTGATGTAACAGTGAGGGAGAAAACGTTAGCCATGCTCCACTTGGCTTACTGCTGTATTCAAAAACACCACAGATGCTTGCTTAATCAGCACTGAAGAACAGTCAGGGAGCAAATTAAGTCTACAGAGTCCGTGCCCTCCCCGTTTGCCGTGTGGCATCAGAGGAGGGTGGCAAGTGAGCGCAGACAAACAAGCGTCTATGAGAGAGGCAATTACCCACATAACAACCTTGCCATGCCTGTCTGCCGCAGGGTGATGGCTTAAAAGTGTCTTCCCCCCTGCGGGGAGAAGAGACAAGTAGAGGAAAGAGTGACAAAGCGAGAGAGAAAGGTGAAAAGGAAGAAAGAAGGGTACCGGGTTTAGGGTGGTAGTAGAGGGGTGGCGGGGGCTGAACTTGCTTTAAAAAGCAGGAGCTCAAAAAGGTCAGGATGACAGCTCATTTAAATCCTCCCAGCAAGAAGCAGAGACCCCCCCCCCCCAAAAAAAAAAAACAAGCCTTAATGAAGCTGCCAGTTCTACACAGACACCTGAGGGGATTGCACCTTAGGGTGCTGCATGGGGAGGGGGCAGTTCTGAGATGGATCTGAGGATTTCGGGGGTGTTCTGCCGCACTGACACTGCGTCACCTTTTCTGTTGCTTGGCCTCTGCTCCCACTCCTCTCATCCTCCTCCCCTTTCCTGTGCCTTCTGATTTACAGCCTGGACTGCCATATGGCTGCAATCCCTGCCCTCAATTCAGCGTGTCACCATGCATTAACTTTAATTGGGTTGATATGTTATTCTTTTCCCTCTGGCCTTGGAAGGATTTTAGGTACATGGTGCCTTGATGTCAGCAGGCAAGATTTCCAGCTCTCTCTCATTTATCAGGATGCCAAGATTTCACAGAAAGATAACAGCAATCTCTTTGACAACAGGCAGGTTTGGTGTGGAGGAAAGCTAAATATCAAATACCGCAGTCTCTTTGTTAGGAGGGTTTCAAAAGCAGAACGGTGGCAGCAGAGTGAAATGATGTTGGGGAAAACAAAACAAAACCGAGCACATAACTGTCCGTTAATTTGTTGTAAGAACACACACAACACACTACATGCAAAAAAACCCCAACCACCCAACAGGCCACCCCCTTCCTGCCTCCCCCACAGCGCCCCTGAATGTCAGAAAAGTGTGCAGTGGGGAGTGCAGAAGCAAAGGTCAGCCTATGGTAATGCCCAAGCTGACGCTCTGCTTTGTAGCGCAGAGCAGGCGGACATGAAACCCGACAGACAGAAGCCTGACGTTTACTGACTTGCCTTTCAGCACCACTGCCACAGTGACTTCAAATATACATCACACGCCAAACAGTGGCACTTTCTACAAAGGCGCACACCCCCATGGAGGCTTTCTTTTTTTCCCCCCCTCCCAACACTCAGACTATTTGTATCAGAAGCGGCACGACTACACCTGACAGAGTGTCAGATCCAGACAGGGACCAAGCTCGCGATAGTTGGAGGTGCCTCTCTGCAGGATGTAATTGGACACATGACTCGGTCGCCTGCTGGCTGTCCAAATTGCCCTGTAACTACCAGGGGGTTTAGCCTACTCTAAACAGGGAGCTTGACCCTCAAGCTGCCCATCCATTCAGGTAAATATCTACCCTAATCACCTAATAGTCCTTGTCGTACAGAGACAAGCCCCTCCTGTTATAAGTGGAAACACAGTTGCGTATAAGGAGGCCCAGCCAAGCCAGCTGGGAAGGCCTGTGGAGCAGGGATTGGCTTGGTGGAGTTTAGCCAGGCGTCTCACACTATCAGCCCCGTGCAGACAGACACTACGGGGTTCTCAAAGTATTAGGGGGGGCCCCGTGACTCGGCAAGTCTCCACCAGCTACTTATAGAACTGTAATAAAGCGTGTGAATAACTGTGCGGCTTTCATTATAGACAAATAAAGGCAAGAAGACAAATCAGGACTTGAGCAAGTGATGCGCATGGCTTGTGTCATGTGTCAAATTGCTCCCATAAAAGCTGACCTATATTTTCTTTTCATTCCTCACTGGGGAAGGAGAAATAGAAAGCCATCTGAAAGTTTGAAAAAAAAAATTACAGAGAAGTGAAGGAGGAAGAGGATAGATGGAAGCCATTTAGGAAATGAGACCAGCTGACTGCATTTATGTGCTGATTGTTTTGATCAATATCCTCTCCATCAACTATAATCTGCATTTGTTAGAAATTTGGAAATAGCATCAGGCTAATTGCATAGCATATTAAAATGGGGGGGGGGCACAGAAAATAAGCTAATTAGAAGCAGACATCTACAATATTTGTGCAGAAATACAATGAAGGAGGGGGAGGGTGGGGGAAATAAGGTGAGAAAGCATGTTTGGATGCTGGTATTATATTAGCAGTTTTTCTATACCAATTATGAGCAAAAGCAATTAGGAGAGCCTAGTCACCATGTTGTACATGGCTTGCACTAACAGCTGAAGAAGAGAGTGGAGGAGAAAGCAGGCTGCTGTTATTTTAATTGCATGTTTACCCCCAGGTTATGGGTCTGAAATAGAGCCAAGAAAAAAAAATGTTGCAGCAGGAATTCAATGCAACTTCACTGTGTTGATTCTCTCAGGGACAGAAAGAGTGAAATTACTTTTCTTTGCAAGCCGAGTCTGAATAGGAGGTAAAGAAAGAAGAAAAAAAGAGAGCAGGAAGATGAGAACAGCTTTTTACCCTTGAATACTAAACCAGAGTATTCTGTCAAAAGAAAGGGGAAAAAGCCTTGGCTCTTGAGCACAGTGGGAAGAAATAACGCTTTGGTATGGCCTTCATTAGCCCATCAGGCTGCACAAACAACAGAGGCAGGAAGGATTGCTGTTGCTAGCTGAGGGACACGGGCGTGTTAGGCTATGACAGGCTGGTTTCACAGTTTCACACAATGGATCCTGATGACTCCAGCACATCCCGAGGCGTTCGGGATGGGCCGTTTGCTTTTCAGTTAGCAGAGATCCCCTCATCAACTCCGAGTGTTATCTTGCCAAAAGAGAAAGGGCGAGAGAGTGGGAGATAGCTCTGATCACGAGCAAAGGGTTAAAAAAAGAAAAAAGAAAAAAAAGAAAGAAAGAAGAAGAAGAAGCAGAAGAGAAGACAGCCAACCCAAACTCAACTTGCACACAAATTGAGAGTCTGTAAAGTAGTGGTTTCCAAGTTGCAAGAGTGTGTCAGGGATAAATCTGTCAAGTAAGGAAACTGCTGCGATACTGTGGGAGAGAGGAAGACAGCTACTTGAAGATGCTCTTCTTTAGAGGGAGGGAGGGGTTTGTGAAACAACTGGGAGACGGTATGAATGCTCAGTAACTAACTGATGAAAGAGTGACAGTTCCCCGAGGTGAGACGGTGGATGTGGAGCGGAGAGAGGCAGCATGCCCCTAGAATACTGCACAGTCCACAGTTGGATTGGCTAAATCTTTGCATAGGTGTCAGATATGGAGGGTTGGTTTCAGGATGAGAACAGAGACTCTTAGAGAAGTTGTGCACCATGAAACTGAGAAAAGGACAGTAACCCTGACAGTAAGAGGCCTCTTCTCTTATCAGGCTGACCCCATTTGTCCTGTTTTGTATTTGCATCAGTAGTTCGTAGCCTCTTGGATGATGACCACGGCTCGTCACAGTGGAGATGATGACAGCGACATGGTAGCGAGATGAGAGAATGAAAACGTATCCGCCTGAAAGTGTCCTGGTCTAGCTAGGATATGTATGCCACAGCTATGTCATGGTCATTACCCATCCACCACATAACTGCTGCGAGGACAGCCAGCCAAAGTCCGTTCTTCAACTTGGGGTCAGTTTCACTAACAGCCACTTAAGCCTGCTTGGCTTCCCCAAGAGCTCTACAAAAGTGGAAGGTAGAGCTAAGTGTGCTCAGCCACGTCAAGGCTGGCCAAGGTCAGACGGGCAGACAGAAAGTGCTGGCAGCGGTGCATGCATGGCGTCATGAATGCCAAAATGCTGGGGCCCCTGACTGCGCCGTTTGACAGACATGTTTACACCTGATAGAAAATGCAGTGTGGATGGCCTGCCAAAACAGAGGGGAACCAAAGTGAGGGGTGCCAGCCTAGTTATTTATTTATCTGCAGCAAATCCATCGAGAGCACAGCCAGAAGCTGGGCATGCCTCAGTGAGGAAAGAGCCAGCCTATTCTCAGACATGACTCTTAAAACACTTGAGGGAGGGGGAAAAAAAAGACCTGACATACAGTAAAAGAAGAGGAAAGCAAAGATTTCATAAAGCAACACTGGAGATTGGAATTGATTTCCTAACTGTTTTAATTCAGCTCAGAGGAGTTCTGATTGGCACGTATTTAAATTACTGAGAGGCTGTTCAAAAGTCACTCGTGATAAGGTTCAAATACTGGCCACGTCTTTGCTCGGTGCTGCAATTACCATTTGA